AACGCACCACAAGTGGAGCGGGACAAGCCAGGGCCCGAAGGGCTAGGGCAAAATGTGGCTAAAGGAGAAGGGGAAGAAAACATACACCTCAGGCAGCTTCTTCATAATCCATGCCCGCAGGCCGACCTTGTCGTCGGCAGAGAGAAGCATGTTTGTCGAGGCTCGGCGGCGCGGTCACGCGTAGTGACTGGGAAGCACGAGGTCGAGGGGCTATAACGCCATGCGCAAAACTATATATGCAATTGATGTGGACGAAAAGAGTAAGGTCATGCCGCAATGGTGGTCAAAAGTACTATTCGTCAGCGCAGGGCATGTCGAGAGTGGAAGTGGAGGTGGAAGACGAAATTTTAGGTACATGGTTCGGGATCAGGAGCTCGCGAGCAAGGGCAGGTCGAGCACAGACCACGTACCAACCTCAACCCACCTTGGTTGGTCTTCGGCAGCCACCACCCTCGCTGACTCTGAACGACGCGGCCAGGTTGGGAAGGAATTAACAAAGCCTCAGCCAGAGCCAGGCCAACGTGGAGGGCAGGGCATGACACGGTGCACAGTGCACAGTGCACATTTCACCTGAACGGCATCAAGTATGTCATTTAGAACAGTCATCAATTCCTAGCAAAAAACTACTAGCCGTGTCATGGCAATCAAACGCATGAGATGGGCTTCATGGCTGACTGCCTCAGCAAAGCCTCCCCATTTTGATAGCTCCTTCGCCATTCCCGCACAATCGGCTTCTCTTTCGTGGCCGGTGGGACGGGATGGCCCACGAAGTCGTGACGACGACTGGACGTCACGAGGGACGTGTCGGCGCCAGGCTTCGATAGCCCTTGAATGAGGCGTTTACAACTTGTCGTAGTACTGTCACGGCATGTCAGCAGCTGTTTCACACGAGAATCGGGATCGAGCAGAAAATAACTTACGTTCTCAACGCCGGGCACCTCAACCTTGATACCCTTGCGCTTACGCATCGTCTGGACGATGCCACCGGTCTTGGAGGTGGGGTCAAGGGGAGAGCCACCGGGCAGGATCTGCCAGTGGTCGAAGACCATCTGGGGGAAGGCCTGGCCGGAGGTGGCCTGGCGCAGATCGGCGTTGAAGCCGAAGGACTCCATGACGGGCAGGTAGGCCTTGATGGTGAAGAGGGGAGTGCCGGGGCGCTGCTCCTCGCCGAAGACGTGGCCACGACGACGGGTAAGGACACCGTAGACACCACCCATGGCCTGCTCGGGAACCTGGATCTCGACGAGGAAGACGGGCTCGAGGAGACCGGGCTCGGCGAGAAGCGAGGCGGCGTACAGGACACGACGGGTGGTGGGCATGATCTGACCGGTACCACGGTGAATGGAATCGGCGTGGAGGGTGACGTCCATGATGTTGAAGCGGATGGCGCGCATGGGCTCCTCGGCAACGGGACCCTCGCGGGTGGCCCACTGGAAACCAGAGACCATGGAGTCCTTGATTTCGTTGAGGTACTGGACGGCCTTGGTCTGGTCAACCAGCAGGTTGGCGCCGACCGTGTCGGGACCGAAGGTCCAGATCTTACGGGCGTCGGTGACGTCCCAGCCGAAGTCGTCGGCGAGGATACGAGCGCGGACCTTGAAATCGTCACGGGGGCTGACCTTGCCACCCTCGATCTCCTTGCAGAGCTCCTCGTCAATGGGCTCAGCCTCCATGTAGATACGGTTGTGCTTGTTGGGGGACTTGGACAGGGCGGTCATGGAAGACTTGGCGCCGACGGTCTCACGGAAAGCGACGACGGGGTCGGAGATGATGAGAGGAACACCGGCGTGGTCGTTCTCGAGATCGTTCAGGCAAATCTCGAGGTGGAGCTCACCGGCACCGGCAACGACGTGCTCACCGGACTCGGAGGTCGAGGTCAGGACGCAAGGGTCAGACTTGGACAGACGCTTGAGACCCTCGACGAGCTTGGGGAGATCCTGGGCGTTCTTGCACTGGACGGAGCGCTGGACGACGGGGGAGACGGAGAACTTCATGACCTTGAGGTTGTGGGCAGTGTCCAGGGTGGTAAGGGTACCAGACTTGAGGAGGAACTGGTCAATACCGACGAGACCGACAATGTTGCCGGCGGGCATGTCGTCGATGGGCTCGACCTTGCCGCCCATCATGAGGACGGTACGCTGGATGGCCTTGATGAAGAGGTCCTCCTTGCGGCCGGGGACGTAGTTGGGGCCCTGGATGCGGACCTTGATGCCGGACTTGACGGTACCGGAGAAGACACGACCGAAGGCGTAGAAACGACCCTTGTCGGAGGTGGGCACCATCTTGGAGACGTACAGCATGAGGGGACCCTTGGGGTCACAGTCACGGATACCGATGGCGGCGGCATCGTCGACGGGACCCTCGTACAGGGTCTCGGCACGGTACTTCTGGGCCGTGACGGGCGAGGGGAGGTGGAGAATCATCATCTCGAGAAGGGCGTCGGCGGCGGGGAGGAAGGTGCGCATGACGGCCTTGAGGAGCTGCTTGCCCTCCTTCTCGCGGTCATCAGCGGAGAGCTTGAGGTTAAGCTTCTCGAGGAGGGTGGTGGTCTCCTCCTTCTTGAAGTTCATGACGGCAGCGAAGATCTTGAAGATGGGGTCGAGGATGAACTGGTTGAAGGCACGCTCGAGCTGCTTGCCCTCGTAGGTGCCGTTCTTGGTCCACTTCTTGGTGGCGGGGTTGAAGTAGTTGTCGCCCCAGAGACGCTCCATCATCTTGTTGCGGTCGACACCGAACTTCTTGGCGTAGCGAGACGCGAACTGGCGGATGGTGAAGGCCCAGCCGTGGAGACCGGAGCCGAAGGCGACGGTACCGCGGTCGGGGTAGACCTGGACGTCACCGAGAGACTTGTCAAAGTAGGTGGAGATGATGACGTTGACGGACTCGATGGTACGGGAGAAGGACTGGTACAGATCCTCCTTGGAGACCTGAAGCTCGAGAAGAGCACGGTCGACCTTGTTGATGATGACAACAGGCTTGATGCGCTCACCGAGAGCCTGACGCAGGACAGTCTCGGTCTGGACGCAGACACCCTCGACGGTGTCGACGACGACGAGAGCACCGTCGGTGACACGGAGAGCGGCGGTGACCTCGGAGGAGAAATCAACGTGGCCTGGCGAGTCGATCAGGTTGATCAGGAAGTCGGTGCCGTCGGTCTTCTGGCCAACGATATCCTTGATGTCCTCGGGGTCGGGGAGCTGACCGAACAGGGAGATGGCGGTAGACTTGATGGTGATACCACGCTCCTGCTCGTCGGCTCTCGTGTCCGTCGCTCGCTGGTCACCAGCCTTGGCGGTGGAAATGATACCGGCCTTGGACAGAAGGGAGTCGGTGAGGGTCGACTTGCCGTGGTCGACGTGGGCAATGACGGACATGTTACGGACATTGCAAGGCTTGTCCATAAGCTGCCGGATCTCCTCAGTGGTGAAGCTATAGGAACGGTGGTGGTCAGCATACTGAAACTTTTGTGACAGATATATGACAGCGGCAAGCTCGCGGAGAACGGGCCGGCAGGGATAATAGCAAACAAGGGCAAGAAGAACGAGGAGAAGGTGAAGATCATGATAGCCAAGGCGCAACACGAGTCGATAGGAGGCGGGGTGGTCGAACTTGAGGAGCTTGCGGCCAGCGACATGATCTACATCGTCCAGGTGACCTCGACGACCAAGAGGATGAGACAGAGGGTCGGATAGCCATGTTGTCGATGGGCAACAAGATTCGAAACTCGATGTTCTCCGTCTCCGACAAAGACGACGACGAGAAGACAGCAATGATGGGGAAAGATGCTTACTTGACCATCTTGACGGTAGTTCTGGGGGTGAACTTCCTGGTTGGAAAATTTGTCGATGTGTTGTTGTTGGAAGCGGGGTCAAGAGACTCTGCCCCGCGCGCGGAAGATGCTTAGATGCGCTTTCAAGCGAAAGGGCAATCTAAAGCTGTAGATAGTCGGGGGTTGCAACAAGCCAAAAAATGACAATGGAGATGTTCCACCGTCACTCTTTTATCGTTGCTTTGGGGAGGTTTGATCGGAGGCCCAGG